TATTACCATTTCTGTAACACATGGGAATGACAATCTATTTAGAGCATTCTGACTATTTATAATTGGTGTCATCAATTGAGAGTGACAAGGCCTAGAAACTGACCCTGTCAGGGGGTCCTGTTCTGACGGCGGAGTCTGTAAGGCACGAGAGAAGCTTCTCTCTGCCCTTTCAGTTACACTCCCTGTTACGCTTTGCCTATGCTTCGCACTTCTCAATTTACTCTGAGAGTATAAGCCTGCCTCCCTGTTTGAGCTATAACAGAACTTATTTCTTTTAATAATACATTTATTAATTGGGATTACTCTTCAAATCATCTTACCATCTTGTGATATTCTCTGTGTTGTGTTGTGTGTGTGTGTGTGTGTGTGTGTGTGTGTGTGTGTGTGTGTGTTGGGAAGGTGGGTGGATATGTGTATTACTTAAATTGGAGCAATATATGCATCTGTGCTCTTATGATCCAGTGATAGTTGGGCTTTAGCTATGTGTTCAGTCCTATGATATTGTATCAAAAATTATGATATTTGATGCTGGATGAGTCCTATGTCCTCAGTGCTTAAGTACAGACTCATTATTGACACAGCAAAACCTCAATTAAGATGTCTCAAGAAATAGGGTTTCTCTGATATCCTTGGTGCTAAACTGAAACATCCCCTCATGTTGGTAGGGGTGCCACTATTGGTTTCAAATCTCGCCAGTAAAATGTCCCCTGTAGTTTGTTAATATCTGGTCTCTCTTGAAGGTGCTGAGAAGTGACAAATCTTCTATTTCCTCGTGTTATGATGCTGGGATCCAACCTAGTGCCTTGTGTGTGCTTAGCGAATAATCTGCTACTGAGCCACACCCCTACCCAGCAAATTTTCCGAGGATTCTGTGCCTTGTTTAGAATACTGGGGCTTGAATATCAGCTTTTACCATGTGGGGCTCTGGGTATAAAAGACAGAGGCAGAAAGGCCAGCTCTGTTTTATGTAGGTCATACTCTCCAAAGAGAAGAGTGTGCTTGCCCACTGAGTTAATGGGATAATCCTGGGAATTTGGATTCTCTCTGATTAATTGAGGTTTTCCTATTCTTAAGTTAAAATATGAAATGACTTCCAAGTTTTAACTGGGCACAACATACATGCCGGTCATTTTAGAGGCAAGCCCCAAATCTGGTTATTTCTTACCATTGTGATCACATGGGGACTTTGGGCTCATTCTGTAACATTCTGAAACTCTGCCTAATGGTCTTTAATTAATTGCATGGATGAAGGCAAGTTCAGTTAAAGACTCTTCTTCTTCCTTCTTTTGCCATCATTTGCTCCCCTCTGCTCCCTGTCTTGTTTCTCTCTCCCCCTTCTCTTCTCTCATTCACTGTCAGGAAAGACTACCTTTGAAGGCACAATTCTGTATCGTGCTGCACCGGGAAAGACGGAGAGCCACAGACGCTTTTACAGTGAGTGACCTTAAGCAGGAGGCAATCATAAAGATAAGATCGGAGCACCTGTGGCTTTTGATGCAGCTGCGCTTTTCCTGAGCCGCCCACGCTTATGCCAAGTGTCTGCGAATTTCTGAGCCAAGGACATGGGCTTATTTGCCTGCAATAAGTGGCATTTCCTTGGTGTGGGCTACCAGAGCATTCTCCCCACCAATCCTGGCGCTGTCTTGTTCGCTTTCTGCCTTTCTCATGTGTATGACATACGTGCATGAACCATGCCTGCCGAGAATGAAGCAGTAGCTTTTGTCATGGCAGTGGAAGATGGCTTCTGGTGGAGACATCAACCTCACCTAGCTATTGCTTTTTCCAAATGGGTCATTCGTCATTTGTGTGGTTCAAAGAAAGAAAATTTTAGCATGGAAGTCCATGCCAGATACAGTGGTCGCTTTGCTCATCCAGCTAATCACCACACGGCAGACTTCTTTTGGCAGGACCCACGGGCAGCCTTCTGTATTGTAAAATAAGGCTGCCCAAAGCTGAAGAAATGAGATGTATGAATTAATTTCATGATGCCCGTAGAACAGTTCTTGTTACATCACAAGCACTACACATGGAGGTGTCAAATTAAAACAATCAGGAACTGATGGGTGCTGAAGCTAGGGTGAATTGTACCACAGTGGACAGCCATGGGACTAGCAGAAGCAAATCTGAGGAGGCTTTGCTCTGTTTGCATCGGGAGGGAAGAATATTCACTGTGGTGCACATAGATTCATATCCATGAGCTATATACATACATGTGATGAAAGAGGTTCAGACAGGAGCACCATAACTGCCCTCAAATGCTTGAAGTGAGGGTATTTTTCTTCCTGTTCCACTCTGAACAAGTGCACAATGCATATGACTTAGCCTGCAGTGTGCTCCTTGTGTTCAGTGGGGAGGTCTGACCTTGTGTTCAGTGGGGAGGTCTGACCTTGTGTTCAGTGGGGAGGTCTGACCTTGTGTTCAGTGGGGAGGTCTGACCTTGTTCATCTCCATGCCTGGCCTGACCAGGTATCTGGAAATCATCACACCAGTGCATAAAGTCGAAATGCTGAAGTCATTTCTAAACCCTCATACCTTTTTACACTACCTCTTCATGGCCCAATAATGTGCCCTTCCTCAAATGGCCCTGGCCTACATTCCACTCGGTAGGTCGAGCTGCCTGAGAGTGCCATCTAGCATTCGGAATATGAACATGATAGTCACAAGTAACCAAAAGAAGGAATACCTAACACACATGAAAATAAAGTCACCTTTCTTTCCTTCCAAGGAAAAGAAGTAGATTTTTGAGTTATTGCATCAATGCAAACATTCAGCTGTATAATTTACATTCTTAAAAATTATAGAATCAGACTGCCAGAATTTCTGGAAGAAAAATCTGCCGTGTGTTTCCTTCCCAGGCCATGCTTGTGTGGCTGAATGACTGTGCCGCTATTCCCTGTATAATAGACTTTTTCTTACCAGTACTAATATGAAGTTAAGTTGATGAGCCTGAAGGCTGCAAATGCCTACAAGCGGAAACTTGCTGAAATTAGGGTGGCAGTGAAGACCAGGTTTTAGCTGTAGCTAAGGGTGAGCTACAGAAGAACCCCCCAAATTCCTCTTTCTGAAGAACCAAACCAGATAGATACTCTCTGCCCCGTTTGTCCTGCCGCCTTCTGGTGGAGGTGGAGGAGGCAGAGGTGCTGGTGGTGGAGGAGGTGGAGGTGGAGGTGGAGGTAGTGGTGGGTGGTGGTGGTGGTCTTGGTGGTTGTGGTGGTGGGGGTGGAGGAGGTGGTGGTTGTGGTGGTGGCGGCAGAGGAGGTGGTGGTGGCCATAGGTGATGGAAGATGATGTGGTTTCTTTACACTGTTTCGCCCTCAATGGTTCTTTCCAAACATGAAAAGAATATGCAAGCCATTTATCACATAGAAAGAATCCATACAGCACAATAAGAGCATGTTAAAGGGGAACGACACAATATTTAGACTCCAAAATTATATCTCCAGCAGGGGTATTCCCAGAAACAATGAGCAGATAAACATACGAGTAGATAGCTAATCCAGGGGTTCTCCATGTTTGTACACACCAATCAGGTCCTGTGAAGTGCAGCTGGCCCCCTCCTTATTATGGCCTCGATTTTTGCTTACAAATGCTGTGCTTTAGCTAACTAAAATATGCACCAGTGGTCTTCCTCCCTCCCCACCCTCTTGGCTTAGAAATACTACTTTATGGAAGGTGAATGGCAGCATCAGAGGAAGCCATTTTTTCTAAGGCTTTGATTCCAAACACTGTTAATAATCTCTAATGACCTTTCTATATTTTACGTTTGCATTTAACAGGTTTTCTTTGCTCTGGGACTTCCTCACTTAAATGACTTCAACATTTTATGATATTCCATGTGAACAGTTATTTGGTGTATCGTTTCTGTGGACTAGGTAGCCACAGGAAGCTAATGTACAACTGGCCACTAGTAAAAGAAATTTAATGGCATTCTTTCACCTCAAGGGCGTTGTTAACGGTCAGGAGATAGAGGATAAATGGCCAGAAGCTACCCTACACATCTAGAACCTTAGAGATAGGGTTTAGTGACAGAACTAAATATTCCTAAAAATATCCTTTGAACCCTTCCCTTTGTTGGCATAATTGATGTCCTGACCACTAAAGGAAGAATGTATACCCAGAAATTAACAGACTCAATTAGGTTCTTTTTAGGAACATGCATGTAGGCAGAGCCTAGAGAACAAGCGTCTGGGGAGGTAAATGTTTTGAGTGTCTTGCTGATAACTCCCAACATATGGCACAAGAGGTTAAAGGGAGACTGTCATGCCCCCTGTGTTTCCCTTGGAAAAGAATTCAGCTTTGGGAAGATGGTGGTTGTAGAGGAAGGAGGAAGAGTCATAGGGTTGGGATTCTGGCCTCTGGAAAGGCAGTTTTTGTTCTGTCTTTAACAAACACCATTATCTTGCTAAGAAACACTATCCCAATGTCGAGTTCAGTTTAATGCTTTCTTAGAGGAACATACCTGCACGCATTTGTTCCTTGTGAAGCCATCCAAAGGGATTTAAGGCTTTGGCAGTCATAATTTTGTGTGGTTTAATTGCTAATTTGCTTGAATTACTTTTAGCTTTACAGTTTCCCTTTAGGAAATGTTACTTTCATTGTTAATTGCTAATTGACATAAATCAGAAAATTTAGAGGTACAGTACATGGTACTTACTGAGTGGGAAGGCCAGGTATGGGTGGCAAGGATGGGTATTAACACAAACCAGGGGTAAAAATTTTGGATCAGAACCAGGCTTTGGCTGAAGCATGTCAAATGTCACATGAGATCCGCATGAAATTAGAGTATCTGAAAAGTTATTTTGAATCACTGTTTAAAATTAAAGTCTGGGGGTAGGAAGAGCAAGCAAAGTTCCTAGACAGCCTGAGTCAGCATACTCAGTGCCCCGAGGCAGAAGCCCAGCCCCACTCTGAGAGATGGCTTCTGGCAGGCTGGGAAGTTCTTTATTGTGGCCTCTGGCTGATTTCTGAGCTCTTTCTCTCCTCATCCCCACTGTTGACAGGCTTAAGAGAAACCACAGGCTCCGAGAGCGATGGGGGTGACTCAAGCAGTACCAAGTCCGAAGGTGCCAACGGGACAGTGGCAACTGTAGCCATCCAGCCCAAGAAAGTCAAAGGAGTGGGCTTTGGCGATATCTTCAAAGACAAGCCAATTAAACTGAGACCAAGGTCAATCGAAGTAGAAAATGACTTCCTGCCGGTAGAAAAGGTATGTTGGACAATTTCTGTGTGACTTCATTTTAATGTGGAACGTCCTAAAGTAGGTTGTGGGCTTTGACTTCATGACGTCAGGGCCCGTTTTTGCTCGCTGTTTGCCATCCCTCCTTTGAGTTCCCCTCCTCTGCAGGAATGGCGTCCCTGCTGCTTACTTCTTACCACTCTTGTGCTGGGCAGCTTTTCATAACTATAACAGAATAACTTAAGTCTACGGTAGGACAAAATGGCTTACCTCATGAGCTGGAGAGCAGAGACGGGGTAGGACTGGGATCCTATAATCTCCTTTAAGGGCACATGGCCAATGACCTATGGACCTTCCACCAGCTCTCACACCTCAAAGATTTTACAAGCTCCTGATGGTACTACCCTGGGCATCAAGTCTAACACAGAGAACTTCAGAGGACTTTCAGGATTATATATATCTCCTTTAAAGAATGTTTCTCGGGATGACTTTTCAAATGGTTCGCCACTTCTCCATCTCTTTTCCAGAGAAGCCCCTTCTCATACCTAGGCCCAGCTAAATATATGACCCTGACAGCCCTCAGATACCCTAAAATATCTCTAAATGCTTTGTGCTCAAGTGTGTTGATTGTGTTTATGTGGCAGAGAAAAGCAATTGTGTGACTTTTTTTCCCTAAGAGTTAGGTGAAACAGTTTCAGACCGCTGAATGGAAGTCTCCTGTGTGTGCACAGGAATGATGGAGACAGCTTGTGTTCGGACTCCCTGGGTTGCTCCCATCAGGAAGCTAGCTTTTTTCTTCTGCTTCTGGTTCTGGGCTGGTGAGAAGCAGACAGCATGTTGCTGCTGAGTACACGGTTGCTATAGCAACACACCCAGAGCCATAGCTCTGTGGCTACCACTGACGTCTACTGTGGTACACTTTTGAGCATCATAGCCTTGCTTGGGAGTTGATAAATACTGTGGAATTTTCCAAATTATAATAAGCTACACTCATGCTGTGCTTAAGAAATGTTTGTTAATTTGATTTCATGTTAAGTTTTCTGCTTTGACTCTTGTGCCAACAGGTTTGGGATAGGGTACTAGCAACATTTCTAATTTAGGTCTATCATTGGATTGTGGCTTTCATTTTTTTCATTGAGGTCAAATTTTAAAGGTCGCGTCAGCATCCACAGCTGTAGAACCTGCAGTATCCACCCAGCCCCTAGAAGCCTTCTGTAGTGCCAACAATCATTAGAACAGCTTCTATGGGGTAGGGGGGCATTTTGGACTTAGAGGAAAGGCAGGGGGAGAAACTAGAACATGCTTCACTTAAGCTGTTCCTTTGGTGAAGTGTCATGGAACCACTATTGCTTTTTCCGTAATCAATATGTCATGTTGCCTGTGATCTGAAAACTATGTTGTTGGTGTCTGAACTTGCGATCAGGTTTGTTGCCCATGGCCACATTCAGATTCCATGAAGAGCTACAAAAAGTGAGTACCCGTCTTGACAAGGAGTGATGGACGGAGTTTATCTCCATTTTATTGAAGTTTTTGAAAAGAATATTATCATTGACTCAATCAAGGTGACATGATGTGTATGTGAGTGGCTTATTATTGCTATTAATAATATTTGTTTTAGGTGACAATAATATATTGAGTTATTAATAGTGACATCAGTGTCAAACATAAACAATTTTCTTTGTGTGTATGTGTATACACAAGTGTACATATGGAGAAATCTCACGTTGATGTTAGAAATCTAACTCTTTCCTCTCCACCATATTCACCGAGTCAGGGTTTTTCAGTCAAATACAGAGCTTAAAGATATGGCAAATCTCACTAGCCAGCATGCTTTTCAGATCCCTGCTTTCTGACGCTGGAATTGCAGGCAAGTGGATAACTACACCCACACAACTTTTATGAGGATTCTGGGGATCAGAACTCCAATCCTCTTGCTTGTGTGGCAAGTGCTTTAAGTGCCAAAACATTTCCTTAGCCCCTGCTTATTAATTCTTGAGACGAGAGCTCACCGTGTGACCTTTCAACTCCTGGGCTTAATTAAACACTTGTCCCAGCCCCCTAAGACTATAGGCATGTGTACCTTTTTGCCAACTACTCCCAAGTTTATATGTCTTAGCACATTTCTTTCAAGAATGACAGAACTTTATGCTTGCCTCTCTGTCATTTCCACCTAGAGATTCTAATTCCTATCAGTTTATCCAAACCCTCCAAACACCCTCCTCCGTCCACAACTTTCCCCATCTCAGATGAAGGCAGTGCCATCTCTCTTCCCTTTTATCCCCTTGAGGTTGTGTCTGACTAATTGATCACCTCTGCCTAACTATGTCTAGCATCTGTCTCTCTGTAACTCGTCACCCTAATAGGGCTCTTTGTTTCTTCTCACTGCTGTGCACTGTATCCACGACACATATGTATGGAAGGTAGAGTGTTTTCAAATGCATCAACATGATGCTTTGGAGATTGCAGACATCTGTAGAGTGAGGGAGCTGGGTGGAACAATAGAGCAGGTGCACACTTGAAAATACAACAGTTGTGTGCTTAACTATTTCTGTGTGAAATACTGTATTGGTGGTAGTGACATGGAACAAGAACTTTATCAGAGTTATGTATGAGAAAGGTATATGTGTGTATGTATGTGGGTGTATGTGCATATATCCTGATTTCTGATTGCTTGCAGAGTGAAACCATGCGCTAGAAGTTCCCATAATCCAGTGTAAAGCCTTGGGAGCAAACATAAACTTCCCAGCTTGCTTGAGTGGCTGCAGGCAATGTTTCCAGCATCTGAGATGATTTAAAACTACCTCTTCTCCCTGTTGTTGGTGCAATGGGTAGTTGCATTGATTTATGGAGCCATTATGTTATTACACAATCTGGCTTGAGAGCCGATGAGTGTGATCCTGTTTTATTAATGTACAACCTGGTTCTTTTCACTTTTGAGATGGTTTTGTATTCAATATTGATGTTTAAAGAAGAAAGTTTCCCTTTAAAATGGGGCTTGCTGCTTTGATTTTGCAGAAGCAAATTGGATCTTGCATGACAGAATCTGGTATGTGAGGCCAAGCATGTCTCCCACTTAAGGTGGATCAGTTATCTTCTGACACGACTGATTTGATAACTTGCATGAGGAAAGATGGGATCTGACAAAGACCTCTCTCTCTCTCTCTCTCTCTCTCTCTCTCTCTCTCTCTCTCTCTCTCTCTCTCTCTCGTGTGTGTGTGTGTGTGTGGTGTACCGGGTTTCTTCATTGAACCTAAAGTTCACTTGTTAACAAGCTTGACTGCTCAATAAGCTCCCTGTATTTATCTGTCTCTGCCTCCCAGTGGTGTGCCACCATGTCTGAATTTTACATGGGTACTGGATATCTGAACTCAGGTTCTTATGTTTTCATAGCAGACATTTTACCAGCTGAACCATCTTCCAGGTTCCTGGATGTCTATTAAATCTGTAACACTCGCTGCTAATGATTAGATTGTATATTAGGGGAGGTACTTAATAATAGCCCTTTACCAACCCTGAGAAAGACGAAAAGTGAAACCAGGTTTGACGCTATACACCTTAATCCTAGCATTCAGGAGACTGAGGCGGGATAATTGAAAATTCAAGGCCAGCCTGATATATTCTAGTTGTCCTGGGTTATATAGAGACCTTGTCCCAAAACAACAAACTAACCAATATTGTTACTTTTGCTTGTCTTATTAAAATATAAGGAGAAACCATATATATATATATATATATATATATATATATATGTGTGTGTGTGTGTGTGTGTGTGTGTGTGTGTGTGTGTGTGTGTGTGTGTAGCATTATATGGATATACCTGTGAACAATTTGTATAATTTACAATCTAACTGAAATATTTACTGATGAAATGGCATAGAGGAGAAGGAGACAAGATTTGTGGTGATTGATAATTTCTTTATGTTTTATGAAGCTGGGTTTCTTGTAGATCAAGCCAAATTCAAACTTTTGGGCAGCCAAGGATGACCTTGAACTTCTGATCCTTTTGATGCTTCTGCCTTTCAAATGCTGGGATTGCAGGCATATGCCAAGTTGTTAAAAACAAGTGATAAATACGTGGGAGTTTGATATCTGCTCTGCTTTTGTCTATATTAGAAATTCCTTTAGTAGAGATTATAGGAAAGGAAATTGGGGAAATGTTTCCATTTAAATTAAGCTTAGGTTTAAGTGTTACTATAGCAATAGGACCTGGAGAGACTGCTCAGCAGTGTCGAGCACTTCTCGGTGAGTCCCTTGGATGACTGGTAAAGGAGTGGCAGATGTTACGACACTTGTAAATGAGCTGCATGTATCTGGGCGAGGCCAGGACCTAACTTGGTATGGCTTTTTATACAGAATGGTCCTTGCTTTCGGTGCCAACTTATGCCATGTATGGACTCTATAGTCATGACTAGTGTTGGTTCTCCTAATCATTTTGGAGCCAGTCTTTTGTGCCATGTTGGAAAAGATATATTCAAGTATTATTGTTTGGCAAGTTGGTAGTATATAGTGTTTCTTACAGAGAAACCTTTTAAGGGCCTCTTCTCCCAGGCCTTCCTAGTTTCGCTGATTCCCATTAGTGATTTCTGCCATCTCTTTCTTGAAAGGAGTTTGTTTTCTATACTTTCTACTCGGCATTATTTGTGGCAGACTCTTTTTTCCACTCCCATCAGCTTGAATCTCATTTATGGAATTGCAGTCACTCAAATTAACGCCTTTATGGTATCAACATTGAAACATTTGTTTGTGGCAGAGAATTGAAATTGAAATTGTATGTAAATGGAGTCATAAATCAATTGTTTCAATCAGCGAAATTGCAGTTAAGAGAATTTTAATATTTTCATTCACATCTCTGTTAGTCTTTTGATCCATCCTAGTAAAAATTCATTAAATTTTATAGTAGCATTAAACCATATAAGTACCAGGTGGGTAAGGTGATCCATGCCTGTATTCCCAGCACAGCAGAGGCAGAGGCAGGGGATCACTGCAGATTTAAGGCCAGCTCGGTTTATATAATTTCTAGGCCATCCAGG